TCTGTGGGATGCTCCAGCCATTTTAATCTCTTCTGCAAAGCCAGGGTCAACAAGCATATGGTGTAAACTTTGTCTTCCTTGAACTTGTTTAGGCAGCTCTGACTTTGACTGCCTGACATCTACCTTGGAACTATGTCAGTTTTCTTTGTCTCTGCCTCCTGTGAAGTTAACAATTTTCCTTTCCTAAGGTGAGCAAAAGAGCTCACCTTAGAGATTTAAAGCATGTATTTCTTTTTACCTTTTTTTTTCTTTTCTCTCTCTCTCTTTTTTTTTTTTTTGCACTAAAGCCTTATTCTTTGCCACTGTCTCCTTATTTTCTTGGAAGGGGATTTGGAGGCTTGAAGGATGGAAGAAAGGAGTCATGATGCTGACTTTTCCTGGCTTAGGCTTCAGGCAGCTGTCTTAGCCTCTTAGCCTGTGCCTCTTGGATCCTTAACCCCTGTGTGCGTGTGTGTCAGTGCCCTTCATCTATATAGCCCGTCTTGCAGCTTAGGATAATTCAATGAAAGATTTTAGGAACTGTGGTGTTCTTTGTGGTACTCTGATAAACACAGGGCTGAGCTGTGTGTTGCTCTAACCACTTAATCTACCAACAATTATTGAAATGTTTTGTTAGAAAATGGATAGATTTTGTGTAGTGAATGGCGAGCATAGAGGATATCCCTACTTTATACCAGCTTGGGTTATCCAGTGTTGAAAATACATGCAAACATACACTTCCATACAAAAACCATTTTCATTAGATCAAATGTCTCTTTTATTGGATTTTTTAAAAACCAGTATGCCTATTTTTTGCATTTGGATGCATGTACCCACCTAAGAGGATTTTTCATTTTTTGTATGCTAAACAGCAGTGGGAGTATCTTCAAATGTTCATTCTGAGCCTTGCAGTCAGCAAGGATCTGCTGTTTGCTGGGACATGTCCAAAGGGATCTGCCTGTCCTTGGCACCTTTTCCTGCTTGTTGCTCTGAGCTGCAGAGCTCCAGATCTCCCGTTTTGTGCCCTGGCCCTCAGCCCTGAGATGAGAGGGGACAGTTCGTCCAGCTGGTCTTCAGGCTCAACCAGCTCTCCACTGAAGCCCTAGTAAAACACATAAGATCTCACTCTTAATGTTCATCCAAGCAGCTGGTGGTGCCTGCTTGTGAGTTGCTCTCTCCGCTCCCTTGTGGACACCCTGAGTTTCCTCTGGAGTCAGGAGAAGTGTCCCAGGTGGGTTCTCCTGGTCCATGTGGCTCTTCTGCCCAAGCCACTAGAGTAGCCCCGGGACCTCATCACATACAGCGTGAGAAAGGTGACCCTTATATATCTAGCATAGCATTTGCTCACGCAGGTTAGCACACATAAAGCAGGAGCATAATAAATTGTTCAAAGCACTCATTTTTTTCAAAGGAGAGGGAAGTGATTTTTCTGATTAAATATTCGTGATATGCTCTATATTACAGTGGTAGGTTTATAAATGCATGGATATATGGCTGCATAGGAAGCCTGGTAGAGGAAACCACTCTCTTCCTAGTGCCAGGATTGGACCTCTCCATACCTGCAGAGATCAAGGCCACAGCGCGTTAGCTTTGGAAGAAAAATTGCTTTAACTGGTTAAAAATAATAGGATAACATGTTTTATTTTGATCTCTGTTTACAACGGAAATATTCAGCTAATTAGCAGTCTCCTAGGTTCACTTTATGAAGCTGTAAATGTTTTACTGAAATAGATGGACTCCCAGGGCACCTGGGACAGCAGTAAATGACCTGGCAAAATGGGCCCATCTTTCTTTATGGTAAATGTATAGCTTTCATGTGTTTCCTCCTTATTATGTGAGGTTGCCTTCCTGCATTCATTGCCTTTGTGTCTGCCACAGCTGCCTAACTCCTTGCACGCAGACGTGCGTTTGGCCCTCTGCGGACATCTGTGCTGCTTCTCAGCACCAGGTGCCACAAGCCAAGCTTGTTGGGGGAGAGGTAGGAAAAAATCCTGCCAAAAATGCAATGTTCAGTCCTATTTTTACCAAAATTTGTAGGACAATTTTATTTTTAACCTGTTTTTAAAAAGAACCCAAAAGGCATTTTGCCTAAATTGTTCACCTAAAGCTAAAAACACTTTTTTTTCAGGGTTCATCTACGGAAGGTTAGGATTTGGCATTGGTTTCCTGCAAAAGGTTTTCCTGCAATTTTTCTTTTTTCTTTTTTTTTTTTTCCCATTGTGATCATAACTAACATCACAGCATTCAGCAAAAGGCTGTGACAACTGTGAATCTGTATTTTGTCTGGGATTATTTTTCTCACATGGGAAAAATTTCATTTGAACTTTAAAGGTTTACCCTTATTACCAAGCTCTGAACCCACGAAGACTTGGGTCCTCTGTAGACCTACCTGCTAGTTGAAGGGCATCCACTACGTGAAAGATTCATAATGTCCTTATAGCTCCTGTAGGTTTCTAGACGTCTCGGATGCCTCTTTTTTCTTCAGGAAAATCAAGAATGTGGAGCTGCATGCTGTCGTTTATATGCAAAACCATTCGTGTTGTTTTCTTGGCATAGGTGAGCAGTAAGTGCTTCACTCCTGCCTGATCTCCCTTTGGTGTCGTCCCTCAGAAAGCATCAAGGAGCAGGTGAGCCTCATGGGGCTGTTCCCTCTTAGTCTGGGGACAACCATGGTGGCTTCTTCCATTCTTCTTTCTGCGTTTGTCAGAAGAGATGGTCGTATTTGCCCGTTTGTGGATTCAACTGTGAGATCTGCTCTGACCCTAAAGAAGGAGAATACAGCCCAATACTCTTCTCTGTCGTGTCCTACCAGCTGGGACTATTTTCCTCCCAACCTCTGCATCAGGGCAGAGCCAGGCTGTTTATGCTTTCTGTCTTCCTCCCCAAGCTCCTTGCTCTTGTCCTGGTTTTCTGCATGCTGACAGGTTATGCAAATAATGTAGGTGGTAAGCCTAAAACAGTGGGGATAAAAAAGCATTTATTCTAGGTTTATTGGTCTGTCTAATAAAGTATGTGGGGTGAAATACCCTGTTGTTTAGAGAAAAGCAGTCTTGGTAGTGGGACAGGTAAGTGGGAGCTGCTCTGGGGTAGACTCATGGACGTGCCTTTAGGAAGGATGAGGTTATGTTGCTCATTCCCCTTTCTCTTTATGCTCCTTCTCTTCCAGCATGTCTACCTCTTATTCCTGTGCTCCCTGAAGACACAGATGCTCTCTGTGGCCCTACAGATTCCTACAGAGGCTTTAGCAAAAACTACCTCTTCCGGGGTATTTTCCAGGGGCACAAAGGTCACGTGCGACTTCGCCGTTAGCAGATTTGGGCTGAAGCGGGTGCTTATACTCAGTCCTTAGAGGAGTTACGCTCTGGGATGGTCTTTCCATAATATACAAAATGTCTAATGAGGGAAAATGTCAGTCAGCAGATTTAAGGCAGATAAAATAGACTGCTTTTCCTCACATTAGTAATGAATCTGTGACACCAGGACTTCTGGAGACCAGGAGTACGGATTGGAGAAGGGGTTGGTTAGACAAATTTGTGGAGGACTGGTCCATCGATATCAGTTCAAAATGTCAGTCTGGATACAGATACTCAAGAAGGTCCTCAATGGCTGATCAATGGTAGCTCAGTGAGTCTATTGGGGATCACTCCATCCATATTTCTTTTGCTCTTTTTTCAAACATCATCTTTTGACCTCTTGCATAGATGACACCTGGACTTTACTTTGGTCTGGTGTGCTGATTCTCAATGGCTCTTAAGGTGGAGCTTAATCAGTTGATGAAGCAATCTCTGCTCAACGGTATTTCTTGTGTTTTCAGGGGACTGATTGCAGATATTTCCAGTAGTTCAGTCCCATTTCTGGGCCATCTACACAAGGACATGTGAGCCTGCCACCCCGGTGGATGTTGTCGTCATCTTCTGAGCTGTCACCTACAACATGGTTGCCCCTCAGCATGTTCAGCAGTCGGTGCCTAGGCTAGCCAGGCTCTTTGGAAGCTCCAAAATGCTCATAGACAATATTGTCATAAGTTAGAAACGTTTGTTGAGAGGAATGATGTGTGTTTATGGGTTTTATGCTACATAAGATAGGGCTGAAAAAGACAAAAGATGAATGAGGAAAGCCTAGGCCTTTTCTAGTGTGAAATTTGCCTACCCTTGCTAATACTCCTTCCTGTCCCCAATATTGCTTGTGTGAATGTCCTTGTATTAATAAACTCATAATACATCTTGTTTATTCCTTCAAGGCCAGTCCCTGCCTCCTTGGATATCCTATCCATAAATAGGATATTTATGACTTTGCAAATGACTGAAAATCTACAATTTGTCATTATGAATTAAAGAGCATGTTCCTTCTGCTTAGGGCTGAAGCTGGGCTTTGGCTTTGAAGACACTGAACCCCCTCTGGGCTTGGTCGACAAAGTCAGATGGAGCCCAGACTTACAGTAGCAAGTGGCTCTTAGTTACTCTAATGTCTTTGATAATGTGTCATCTGCTGCTGTTGTTAGAGATCAGTGTTTAGACTCAGAAGTAATTTCTTTCTAGGTGGAGAGGAAATGAAAATATCTGTTCTGCAAAAGCAAAAAGGGAAAGAATTAAGAGAGCAAGAAAGAGAGAGAAATGAAAATAATGCCACACACATGTAAAAATATATGCATGTATGTATATACACGCCACAGGGATTAACAGAAAGAAATTCCTATTTAGAAGAAAACACTGTATTTCCATTTGCTGTGCTCAGTACTTTCAGCTGTGGAACATAAGAAGTTAAGAGAATTTTGAAAGCTTCAGAAAGGAGGTTTTCAAGTAATTGGTGAAGGGCTAAAGAGTTAGTTTTCATAATAACCAAAAAAACCTTTTGAGCACTAAAATATAGTCCAGAAAATCAAAGGGGGGAATGTTAATTGTTTTGTACAACACAGAATTTTCAGTTCAGAGGACCTTCAGCCACTCAATGGTTCTTTCTTTTTTCCCTTTCTTTCTTTGCAGGTTGATTAAGTGAAAAGAAGAATCAAAAAAAAGGAAAAAAAGGAAAAAAAGAAAAAAAAAACGAAGCTGCTTTCAAGTACAGAAGAGACCAGGCCAGGATGAACACAAAGGACGCAAAAGTGTCTGAAGGAGGTCTCAATGTCACGCTCACCATACGCCTCCTCATGCATGGCAAGGTGAAGTGTTGTTTTGCCCTAGCAGTTGCCCTCGAACTCTGTCAGAGTTGGTCACAGACGCTTCTTCTCCTCAACTCCAGCCAAAAGCACCATTGACATTACTGAAAAACACTCGTCTGCTTTTCAAGGCAGTAAACGTACATTTGTATCACAGTCCAAATTCAAAAATTCATTTTCAGTCATTCCGGCAACAAAGAAAAAAGATTCTGTTACTGGTAGTTAGCCATGTTGGACAGAACTTTGCACAAGGCTGACCTGTCTACAGCTGCCATCTTTTCTCACCTTTCTCATCATTTGTTGAATGTCACAGTCTTTTGAAAATAACACGATGGTTTTTGTGAAGTAAGGGCCACAGAGTTACTGTGTGTATATATATATATATATATGTTGTTTTCAGACAGGAGGATTCTTCATTATTCTGATATAGCATCTGAATATATATATATATATATATATATCAGAATATGTTTTATATATATACTGAAATAGCATCTGATATTTCCGTCTGAATAGTTTGAATATGAGGAAGAACTTCTTTATTGTGAGGGTGACAGAGCCCTGGAACAGGCTGCCCAGAGAGGTTGTGGAGTCTCCTTCCCTGGAGATCTCCCAAACCCTGCGTGGATGCCACCCTGTGCCACGTGCTCTGGGTGTCCCTGCTGGAGCAGGGGGGTTGGACTAGATGACCTCTAGAGGTCCCTTCCAACCTTAATGATTCTGTGGTTCTGTGGCCATGTTAGAGTGATCCCCTGATAAAACAAGTGTTTGTCCAGGTTGCGCATGAGGTTTGATTTAGAAGGTTAGATGCTAATTTCACCTCTCTCTAGCACAGCACTTAAGCACATAGTTTAGTGTTAAATCCGTACCATAGACACAGTGCCAATTCAATACAGTCATATATGATAGTCTGATAGCCATTTATTTCACATTGCAAGATCACAAAATGAGTTTTTAGTTAAAATGTATTTCATAAGTTAGTTTTGCAACGTTTATATCAGTCAACAACGGAAGTTTTTAGGCTGAGAAATGGATATTATAAAAAGGAGAAATGCTTAGCTATTTTTTACAAGGAACAGTGAAAATATATACAAATCAGATTTGTAGAATGACATATATAAATCTAAAACATATTTTTTACTCCTGGAATTTAGTTTATAAACTAAAAATATAAATATATTGTAAAAGGGAGCATACTTCCAATTTTCTAGATCAGAAATTTATGGCATGAACATGTAATACACCCACTGCACATAGGAGACTAACGTAGCTCTGTCTATATTATACATGTGGAGCTGTTAGGTGATTTAAGAAGATGCAGTTTTCAATTTTAAAAAGCCAAACTTTAGGATATGCCAAAATTAGTGTACCATGGATCAAACTATGTATTTTCTCAGAAAATACTCAACCATTTCAGCCGGTCATCTTTGGTTGATGTCTGCTTCAGGCAGGCTTCTGGTGTGTAAAATTTACATCTAAAATAGGGAACTATCAAACATATTTATTAACTGTCTCTTTTACCAAACCCACCTAAAAACTGCATGCATGTCTACACTGAAAATTGCTTCTTAGGGATGTGATTCTACTAATTCTTGGTCCCAACCTAGAAAAGCATCCTGGTAGGTCCCTACTGCTTTCGGTCAAATTCCTGTGTGCTTAAGTGTGCCTTCAAAAAAAAATCACTGCCACACAGCTCAGACAGTACAGCTTAACCCAAGGAACTGTCATTTTCAGGACACTTTAGCAGTGGTTTTTTGGGGGGGTATTATTTGATAATATAAGATAATCAGAAAACAAAATAGAAAAGGCTCATGTTCTGTGTTGAATGCAGTTTGTTGTGTGTCCAAATACTCTTAACTCTCATGAATGTTACGTGACCGATCTTCAATGCTGACATAGCCCCAAGAGTCTAAATTAAGCACATGAAAGCTGGGAAATTCAAAGGAGTGGGAGTACACCACAGATAACAAGGCACGATGGGTATACTGTGAGCTCCACTAGGCTCCACTCATGTATCCTGTTGTGCCAAAGTATTGCAACGTCAGAATTTCTTTTGGTGATTAAAGTTGAGCTCTTATAGTTTCTTTGATGTTATTTCTGTGATTGAAAAAATGCTAATATCAAGGAGCAAAGGCTGTCTGAGCTGATAGGAACTCATTGTGAGAAGGTCACTCTGTACGTGCCTCTGAAGTAGAGGAGGAAACCTTCTCCTCAGCTCTTTCCTAAGATTCGTTGTGATAATGACATTTCTGGAGATTTCTGATCTCTCATTAGTATTTAAAGACAAAACCTAATTGAAGCAGTACTTGGGCTGTAAATAAGCGGTCATAGCTTGAAAATCAAGAGGGGAATTAGGAGTGTGTTTTTGCAAATTGGATTACAGAAAAGGTAATTCAGATGTTATTTGTTTCTTGGGGTATTTGACAGAAATTCTAGCATCTCTCCTGCATAGTCTTAACTCTATCCCTAAACCCCTACAACCACTGTACCTAAATATTTGTTAAGGGTTTATGGACACAAGTGGAAAGTATGTGCGTTTGTAGGTAAACAGCCTGTGGCTGTAAGGATTGGCTGAGCTCCAGAAGAAAGATCCTTATTCTTTTCTTTTCTTTTCTTTTCTTTTCTTTTCTTTTCTTTTCTTTTCTTTTCTTTTCTTTTCTTTTCTTTTCTTTTCTTTTCTTTTCTTTTCTTTCCTTTTCTTTACTTTTCTTTCCTTTTCTTTCCTTTTCTTTCCTTTTCTTTCCTTTTCTTTCCTTTTCTTTCCTTTTCTTTCCTTTTCTTTCCTTTTCTTTCCTTTTCTTTCCTTTTCTTTTCTTTTCTTTTCTTTTCTTTTCTTTTCTTTTCTTTTCTTTTCTTTTCTTTTCTTTTCTTTTCTTTTCTTTTCTTTGTTAGAAATAAACCTATTCTAGCTCTCTGCCTCTTAGAGGTTCTTTGGATTCTTGATGTTTCCTTCATGTTACTTCTTGTTCACTTTTTGCTGAGTTTTTTCTTCCCATGAATTATGGCGAGCTGATTTTCTTGCTTGCTGAAGCCAGGTTGAAAGTTCATGGAAAATTGTTGCCTTGCCCACAGAAGTCTGTTAAGGTACCTTAGAACATCTGTTGTGCTTTTGGTCTGCATCTGACCAGTTCATGACAGAATAAAATAACTCCAAAAAAAGTACTTACGTTGCCCATACTGGATAATGATGACATGATTTTGTCATGGTTTGGATTTCTACGCAGCTCATGTTCACAGACTGAAACCCTGGAGACTCTGTTAAAAGTTAAGCTTAGATGAGGAGGGTAAACAGATTGCACCAGTGCGAAAATGTGAAATTTCAGGAAAGTGTTTTAATGGAGGCTGAAAAGTTAGGTGTGTGAGGAAAGGAATGCAAGACAGTATGCAAACGTGCCATTAGGGACAGGGCCCTGGGGTCATGAAGCCACTCTGAGACCTGTCCAAGCATCATTGCTCCCTCCTTGAGGACAAACATGTAGAAGTGCCTTGTCTCCCCAGGGCCTCCTGCTTGAACGTGTGCCCATGAAACTCCCTTGAACATAGCAAAGCAGACAAGAAGCCAGTCAGGACTAGAGGACACTACAGGAAGCTTTTAGAGAAAGGGGAAGGAGTTAAGAAATTGAAAAGAAAATGGGTTAATAAAGTCAGGTTCATTAGGAAAAATAAGGAAATAATTCACAGGTAGGGTGAAGGTGGGAGAGAAAACCGTGAGGGACGCAGGCCTCTTACCAAATAATGAGAGCTCAAAAACCAAGGCAATTAATGGGGAAGGTCATTTGGAAGATGCTTGTGCAGAGAAAGGAGGAGACATGGAAAGCAGGAAGGCCAGAACATGCCAGAGGTGGTTGTGGCTAGAGTAGCGCGTTGCAGATATGTTGGATTGGAAAGGAAGGCCATTGCAGGGAAAGCGTATGCAGTTTGGGGTGCATGTACTGCATATCGTGGGGTAAAGAGAGGTTAATTCCCTTGCAGCACTTGTGGCAGAATCACTTCAGTTGAGTACTCAGCAGTCACTGCTGTGTTTGTGAATGACTTTGAAAACTAAGTGGAGAAGGAAAATACTGAAAAGCACAGAAAAATAACACTAAAGAGCCTGTGTTTAGCTTTGTTCAGATATTCTCATTTTTTGGTGCTATAGAATTTTCTACAGGTGGAATAAAACTCATCAAAGTGCTTGCTTGCACTTAAAGACCTAAACAGAGGCAGCATAAAACCATGAGGTACATTACCATCTGTATAGGTAATATAGATTATATATGTATATATATATATACACACATATATACATTATATATATATATATATATATTGCTTTGAGCAGCTGCTTTTGCATACCTGGCTAATTGACCCCTGAAAGATTTTTAAAGCAAGATATAAATCACTGATTGTCCCCCAACATGAAGGCAATGCCCTTCTTCCTCATTTGTTTTCTTTTAGCTTTTACTTATTAGAATGCAACATAAAAGAAAGCATCTGTAAGAATTATCTTTTCAGTAACTTAATCCAGTCCAGAAAATGCCAACCAAGTCAGTGTTTGTTCTCTTCTTTCTAGTTTCCAGGAACGCTAGCAGGGTATTATGAGGATTGACTGTCCTGCTTATTGTTGTTAGAGCTCTTGTTTTGTTCGCATGACTGTAGTACCTAAGAGTTCTGGTCATGGAACAAACCTCAGTGTGCAAATATGTGCAGATCTCCTCCTAGTATTACAGTAGTAACAGCTGTAGTTTCTAACTATTTTCACTAGCCTAAAAAAATCAGTGGAAAGGAGAGAGGTCTTTTCCCACAGCCCTTGGGCACTGTTTACTTCCCCAAACAGTCTTTGTGACCACATTTGCCCACTTTTGTCAAACAAAATCTCATCAGTCCACAGTTACAATGAGTGGAGATTGCAAAAGGCATGCTGTTCAGTGCGGCTGTTTCAGCGTGGCAGGCAGAAGAACAAAGTGAAGGGACTGTTTTTGGTTTATGTTTTATTTTATTTTTGAGAAAGGACATGAGGGTTG